TTCACGAACTAAAACAATAAAAACAAATAAAACAAAAACAAATTTGAGGTACACTTGTGTTGCAGCAGCTTGTCTTAAACCATTTTCAACGATTCGCTAGTCAGAATTGAGATCTATCAAACATCACATCCACGAGGCATTTGTACGTGATACGATCAAAAAACAATAGGCTTTTTTTAAAGTAAACCTTATTTAATAACGTCTATTGACGCTTAAAAGCATATGACAAGAGAGAGTAAGAGAAATGAGAAAGGAAAAATGGTATAATATCAGTAAGAAAAACAAATGGAAAAGATAAATAGAACAACAGGAAAAGTAAGTAAGTAGATAAAAGGCAGACCATATGCTAATTTGTTTTTTCTATTCAACATAAATGGCAAAGAATCTCTGAAACATAAGCCATAAACGATATTAAGATTGAGCGAGAAGGTAGTGTTGTTACAAAGCTGAGTAGAACTCACGCACTAATCTCATATCTTTTCTTATTAGAAATGATTTTCGATGAATTAAAACCAGCGGATTAGAATTGATTCATGCCTATCAATTATTGTTCTCACTCTGGGTAACTTAGAGGAATACCTTAAATTCAACCAGTGTGCATCATAATTTCTTTACTGTTTCTCTTCTTTATTCGTAAAGACATCACAATAGAAAAGATCATGATAAAATTACGACTTGGCTAGATCGAAACGAGATATTCTATTAATTTATGCAGGTGCCGCTATAGTGGTACATCTATGTGGTATCCTTAACCTTATTCTGAACTTAAGTTCTAGAAACATTTGGTGAGAGTTTTGCAGTAGAGAAAAGAGCGAAAAATCCACACAAAGACGAGCAAGCTATAGACAAAGAAACATAATCTCAATATGTCAGTGGAAACCATTCTATTTCTTTTCAACCATCTCAATTTAGTATATGAACTTTAAATCATATCTTTACAATGTTTGGCAGTCGGTCCGAGACACAATTATTCCGTTTACGCAAATTCTAAATAACTAAATGATATCATTATTTCTACTTGTTTCCCATTCTTGTACATCTGTGTTATTGGTTATTTTTTTTGTAAACGGACTAGTTTTCCCATCATCTTTTCTATGTTTATAGGCTGCCTCTATTTACTAGTACATTCATTGAAATTTTAACAAATTTCTGTTTCCCTTCCATCGATGCACTCTAGCATTCTTGACAGACTTCTCTTTAGTGGCGAAAATATTAGTGTGGTTGTGTATGTGAGTGCTTTTTTACCCACATCCTCGTTCTTTTTTCAGTTTAAGTTTCTTGTAGAACATAATATATGCAACAACTTGATGTCCCGTCAGCTAGTCAATGGAAATAATGGACCATGCAAATGGTGGCATCATCGTTGGTTTAAGATCATTTGCATCTGCTTTATCGTTGTAGCAATAGTTGCAGTTATACTTTCTTTGATATTAAAATTCGTCATACTTGCACCAAAGAAACGGGATATCACCATGGCGACGTTACCATCATCAATGACAGTGTCATCATCACGAACGGCAACAACACCATTAACAACAGCTGCGATCACAACTCAACAATTAGGTAAACTGTACACAAACACGTCTTAATCTACCTAAGTACTACTTTTAAATCAGGCATATATAGTTGCTATACATCTAGCCAACGATTACACTAAAATCGCCTAAAATCAGTAACTTACCGAAAGTCATTCAAAATCATTTACAGTAAAATAAAATTTGGCGAAAATAGCTTTAGATGCTTCATAGGATTCGGAGGATTCTGGTTGGTTTTAAATTGTTTTGGGTGATCTATGCGATTTACACTTATTTTAGAGTAATTTAAGCCCTCACCCCTCCCCTCAGAAAAGTCAATTTTTCGAAAAAAACTCGATTTTGAGATTTATACATATTCTGATAGCTCTTGTAATGAACTACAACCTAGCATAGTTTCTTTTGCCAAAATGTGTACATTGGTCTTTTTTTCTGAAGATGTGCTACTGAGGCATAAAGGGTGTTTCATAGTAACTGAAAATACAGTGTTAATGATATTTTTCATACTTTTGTTTGACCGAGAGAGCTGAAATCTTTATGACATATATAACTAATCAAGATCTTTTAGTTCTAAAAATTTCAGCTCTATAGCTATAACTAATGATAAAATACATCGATCAAAGTGAAATACATAAGTTTTTGTACCCGATTCTTGCCTCATTTTTCAGCAAAACTCGAGTACGAAAACTTCTGTATTTTACCATTAGTCATAGTTATAGAAATGAAACTTTCAGAACTAAAAGATCTTGATTAGTTATATACGTCATAAAAATTTCAGCTCTCTCTGTCAAACAAAAGAATGAAAATATCATTAACGATAAAGTTGACAAAAACATGTGTGACATGAAGTAATATCTACGTATAAAGAACCATGACCAGAATTTAGGCATGATTTGTATCTCTAACCGTATTATGATATATCCACGAACATGCCATCAATAAAGCTTGAGGAATAGTGCGAGAATGTTAGGTAAATAAGCAGACTTATTTCGAATAGAGACACTTACTGCATCAAACAACTTTGTTTTTCGTTTTTCTCAAAACCAGTTTTTTCGACAGTACCGTTTATGCGCGGGCAGGCTTTTCTTCATAATGACTCAATATAGAAGTGGTGATTTTTTCTAATGCATAGTAGACAGATAGGGCTAGATCCTATCAGGATCCGATTTTTGAATTTCGCTTTTGGTGAAATAAAAACCTTAGATATTTTATTTTTTAGTAGCAATTTTTTGGGCATGATTTCGTGAATTTTACGAAAAAGGGTTTTCAAAAAAAAACAAACAAAGGGAAATTCAAAAATCGGGTCCTGGGAGGACCTAGCCCTAGGGGTACTCTACAACTTGAAAACCGTTCGGGCTTGGTAGCTCGTATCCTTATTGTGAAATCCTTGCCCGCGTACAGGGTACTTTTGACCAATAAATGGACTATAATTCATTAGTTTATTGGAGATTTTGGGGAGATATTTTAACAATAATCTCTCCTAGCCTAGACTAACATCCTTTGAAATTTTGGTTGAAATCGGATGAAAAATAACAAAGTTGGTTTCTGAGGAGGGACTTAAATTACTTTTTTTTGTTCTAGTATTAGTCATATTTAGTCGAATTAGTCGTTCAAAAATGATAATTTTGATTTATTTTGTTATTGTCAATTCGTAATCGATTTAATATATTGCGACTTGTTTCTTGCACCAGTAAAACGAAAGGAATTTATAAAGAAAAAAATGCCTAATTGAAGAATAACCTTTAAATTAGTAAAAAGAGACTGGTGAAATCACGCGACTCAAAATGAGCATGTTTGTGGATGGTGTGTTTTAACGTAGATGAAGCTAACACCATCAATCACACTCACACCAAGTTTTGAAAGGTAGTAGGTACTATAAAAAGTTTGCCCAAATTAATAGTTAAATGAAAACGTAATCGATAAGTTGAGTAAGATTCTATTAAACATATTTCTATTTTCTCGGAAATTGAGGACGATGTTGAAGAAAATGGCTGTCGATATTTTGTAGAGTTGCCATATCGCTTTAGAATGTGATTTTGTGCTGAGAATTATTCAGTTCCGATATATTATGGAACTGTCGGTAGGTTTTCGGCAAATGAGTTTTCCAAATGATCAGTCATATAACAAATTATTCGTGGCAAAGAAGAATCGCTCTTTTTTGAGCGTATATCCTACGAATATAGAAATGAATTAAAACAGATGAAAAGAAACGCTAACCGCATCAACGTTATGATCAAGATTTGTGGGACAGAATGAGAAATGTATTGATTTCCAATGCACATGTTGTAATAAAAACGAGCATCAAAATTCCATCGCACTTTTTGATGACTGTTGTTGTCAGTGACCATAAGTTGAGTCTCGGAAGAACTGTGTCAACTTCTGGCTCCATTACCATCTTCTTCGATGACCAAACGCTTGTCCTCTGAATTTAACAATAAAGATTGACGAAGACATAATCATTTTTGGTGTGTCTATTTAACTAAATTTTCCTTCATGGCATTCAGTATTTGTTGAATAGCAAGAGAAGGTTTGAGAAAACGACTTGATTCGAAATTGTATAGCAACAGGAGGGACGTTTTCATTATTTTACTCTTCAACAAGAGTTTCTTGTTTTGCAGTTCTAATTGTCTATGCCATGTGACGCGTCTAAATTGGTATTCCATGTATGTTATGATTCTCAATTTTTGTATTGTTTTCTATTTGGTTTTTGTTGTTTGCTAATCAGTCAAGTGCAAAGTCTCATCGAAGAGTAATGTAGGCGAGCCCATCATAAGATACATCTTGCTTTCAGATTTACATCACTTTGAGAGTCATCTTTTATTCTGGTTAATAGCCAAACGAGTGCACACCTCTAACCTTGCTGAGACAAATCTTACATAACATTGAGTTCAAACGAATATCGCAAATCAAACAGGTCGTTTGTTCTAATCTCTCCATAACTAGCAGCATTGCCCACACACTCGGCATCAATGATATTGAAGTAAATGTAGAAAATTTATTCATATTCTTTGCGTTGCTCATCTCTATTGCATTCCATCAAGCACTGCACTTTTTCACGTTAGCAGTTATTTCAGATAACTTGTAATTGTCTTAAAAGACTATAACGCTGTTAATAGGGATCCAAACAAACTGCTCAGCACCATTTCACCTTGCTGAACACTACGTAGCGTACGAACTACTTACAAAAATAGAAGATTTTGTAAAAATATCAATAAAGGATGTGGGTCTCGAAAATTCGGATAGAGCTTGAACTCGAGACGAAAGTACAATAGAGAATTAGACCCAGCTAGAACTCTTTTCTTCTTCGAAAATGATTTTGGATCCGAATCAAAAATTTCTTCGGTTCAAATTCTCGTAATTCATGATCGCAAGCACATTTATTATATAAATAATGTGATAATAGTTAGAAAATACGAACCAAGTTTATCTGCCATTCATACATACGATTCTTTATCAAAAATACGAAATCCACAGTCACACGATATCATGAACGACTTCTTATAAAAAATTCAAGGCCTTTTTCGATCATCAGCAATTCACGAATAACTTTGCTTTATTGATAAGAAACGACTTCCATTTGACAAAAACGAATGCTTTCCGCACATCATTAAACCAGTCTGTGTCCAACAATACATATTCTTCCCAGAAAGGAGTACATGCATATGTTTTCGTGTAGAATTGAACAATGTTGGCAACATGAACCATCTAAGAGAACTGCACACAACGATCTTATTAACAAATGGAAAAGTCCTAGTTACTGGTGGACGAAAGGATGATGATATTTTAAGTAGTGCCGAATTGTACGATTTATCAACAGGAACTTGGACAACTACTGGTAGCATGAATAGTCCACGATCCGAGCACACAGCATTCGTATTAACAAATGAAAAAGTGGTAGTTACTGGTGGAGGAAATTTTATTGATTTGTTTAGTAGTGTCGAATTATATGATCCATCAACAGAAACTTGGACAACTCCTGGTAGCATGAACAATTCACGAACTCGGCACACACTGACCTCATTAACAAATGGAAAAGTGTTAATTCATGACGAATGGTCAAATGGTAGTGTGGTTCAAATAGAGCAGAAATATATTAAACATTTCAAAAAAGCAAACACGACAAGCAGTTTTTGATGTTTCATACCACTATTCTTGTTTGCGACCATTATCCCTCAAAGCCCGACTATCTTAATAGTTGTTCAGAATTTCATGCTGCACTTCTGATGATTTTCTATGGAATTTATTTTTCCAACTATTCTCATAACAAATTACGCAAATTTTCTACAGCGGTT